TTGACATTCCGGAATTTCGTAACACTCATGCATTTGCTGTGACGTGAAAATTTAATAATAGACTTCGAGATAGATGGGGACTGATGGCAAATCACAGCCTCTTTTATAATTTAATAATAACTATATAAGAATATCCAATTAATGTGCGTTCACGCATCGTGTAACGAAAGGAGCGAAATTCGGTTTTATTCCCTGTTTGCCAAACTGTAGCAATGTGCAGTACTACCATCGTTCCCGGTTGCTCGCACAACTGCGAACAGATATCAGTAGATGGTATCCAAAATCAAGAGGAATAACTCGTGGACATCATGAGTACCTGAGAGACAAACGTGGGTTTTGGAAGAAAACCTGAATGTGTAACTGTGTCCGGACATCCACGTTTCGGTGGATGCTGAATTTTAGTGCTCGTCATAGGCAGGGGAACTCGACAGGCACGGTGTTTCAGAGTGGTCTCCGGCTTACGGAACAAGATAGTTTATTGCAATTTAAACAATTTAATAACAACTGCAATTCGTTGTGTAGGAGAGTGGGTTTCACAGCCTGAGTTTAGCGAAAAGTAATCTAAGTTCTTAAGATTGTTTGAATGCATGTGCAGTTTATGTTCATACGCCTGAATCCTTAACGAAGCAAGTGAACTGCCCGACGGACTGTTTAATAATTGGACCCCCAAATTGCTTCCCATATGTGAACCGGTGTTGATTAGACCAGAACAGTTTACACGCCGTTCAGTGCACTGTTCCGAACTGTTCTTTGAAGTGAGCATTATTAGAGTTCTTGGAATTTCCTCCATCCTACTCGGTCGTTGTACGCGGAAGCCGCTGCTTCTTCAGAGCAACAGCTTTTGTGAGGTAGAATCCATATCATTCACCACGTTAAGTTTTGTCGCGTCCTTTGGGCGAAATCACTCAGATTGTTAGAGTACGAATTTACTGTCCGCGAGGCCCGCGGTTCGCATAGGCTTCTGCCGCTAGACTTACCCTGTCTACGCATGAGCAACCAGGTAGTACCCTAGTCCTCGTGCTTTCCGCGGATGGCATGGCAGTTAGGCGCTGAAAGGGTAATCCAGCTGAACGCAGCAGCTGAAGAAATGGTTCGTTGATTTCCTTTAGTCCCCTTGAGGATGTTGATTCAAAGGGATAAAATCTGAACTGGTTATTCAGCGAACCTATTAGATCCCTCACTTGATGAATAGTATATGGCCCCACCGGTAGATTAGTGCCTCAAAACGTGATAATGCAGATGTGGTGCTGGGATTCTAGATAAAATTTCATTATATCCAAACAACCCCTATTCAAATACAATTCGCCTCACCATCGCTGGAACGCTACGTTAGTCGACGGAGCATTGACTAACTTAACCCTGGTTCCATTGTGCCTTGCATACGAATCCGCGGATGTGATTCTGATTCTAATTGGCAACGTGCACTTGCACCATACGCCAATCTACTGACAAAACACTCCGTCTTATTAGCAGCCGCAATACCATCAAGTGATAAGCCGCGACCAACTGTAATTAAAAGAGCCAGCTATTGATACCTAAAAACCTTCCGATTTCCCGATTTCATTGTGTAATTGCGTTGGGAAGAAGCTGGTATTATTAGATTCTTCCAGGAGCTCATGTCAACCGGTTAGCAAAACGGGATTTATGTCGCCAAACTTGCCGCTGTGAAACTAACCCCGGATTTCGTTCATTCCACATGTCCAGGATTAATTAGTAGGCAACAAGTTATCATGTCAGTCGTATGTGCCCCGCCTGCAACTCATGTTTTCGACAGTGTCAAACTAACTTGCTCACGTCTGCGTTGACCATCTTGATCATCAAGACGCTGTGTCGTAAACGTGAATTCGAGGCGCAACGATGTCCTTAGTTGTAAACTCTGAAGGAAGCAAGTTGTATCCACTCATTTGAACCTCTAGTTATTTCACGGTACGCCACCAGATCAAACTTGGTTTTCGAACGTGTCAGACTTACGTACCCTTAGAGCATGACCAGATTTATTTTCAATCGAGGACCGGCTCACGATGTTATTACGATAGACCAATTGTTTAATCAGGCAGCTGTTTAATCCACAAGTTAATCACCTCAATTTGGTGTTGTCACCCGAACACCAAATCGCAATTTAATTAATTTGATCGCAATTCGCATCGTCTTCTCATCTAAAAACAATGAATTCAGGTACCGTGACACCCATGCCTGCGACATCTATTACATCTGGAAATGGTAGGTATCATGGTCCCATAGCGAACAACTTGTGGAATACGGACCATCAGGAAATTCTTCACTACATGTGCTTTGTGCCTAAATTGCCACAATTCTATTCTCCTGTTTATTTGCATCCTACAAATTAGCTGTAGTTTCTGGAGGATGCGAAAACTACACATGGTATATTTTCGCTCACTCTGCGTAAATTCTTCGTTTGTCCGTAGGGTCTTTTTGCGAAGTTTTGCTTCACCACCAGTGTGTGCTCACAAAAACTTAACTATTCAGTTGAGCGAACGGCCAAAAGTGTCATCTCTCCAGTTTGATCATTGGCATCGTCGGTCTTCATGGGCGCGGTCAAGGATTTGCAGACAAGACCTTGTATATTTGCGTTTCAACAGTATGTAAGTTATCGGGAGTTGCTTGATCTCCTGGATACG